ATATTATTCTGTTCACTGTAGTGGGCAGTATTTTGTTTCTCGTTCTTCTCTGGGTCAGCTCTGTGCCATGGGAATCGTACCTTTCTTGGGCAGGATGATGATGGAGTCGTCATCGATGCCATGCGTCTTGGCGTACTGGGTGAAATCGTCAATCAGGCTGGGGCGCAGCTCCTGGGTTCGTCCTGCGGAGGGGGGCAAACGTGTTACCGACGCAGGGTTAGGGTCAGAGTATTTCAACATTCTTTCTGGGGGAGCAAGAGGGTGAGGGGTGAGGTTTGAGGGGGTGCTTTTCACAGGTTGGGGGGACGTTGGCGCTTGTGCTGTCTGTTTAGCAGATGCCAGGAGTGGCTGAGACCCAGAATTCCCCAGTCAGCAGGTAAGGACCAGTAAGAACAGACAGTCACGTTTTCTGGACAGAAATTGCACCCCCTGTGGGAGGGAGCTACACCTATTCGGTGTGGCCCGGCGATGAAGACTCAATCCCGCAGCCCCAGGGACGAGGCAGCATGGCCACGAACTGCAGGCGTCCTGACACGCTGCTCCCTGCGGCGTCCGGGCTGTGCCCCGAAGCCCCAGTGCAAACGGGGCCCGGGCTGCTTGTCATCGGCCGCAGGACACGGGAGTTTCAGAGCCTCACCGGTGCTCTGCAGCTCAGGCGACGCAGGTTTCTAACACCGCCGGGACGGTCGCACCCCCTCCTGCGCCCTTACCGTACAGCCTCACCGTCCGGGTGCTGTTGTACCCGGGTCTCGACTTGATCATCAGCGTCAGGGCGTACTCGGCGTAGTTCGTGCGAACAATGTAGGAGTCCACATCCGTGGCCCACTCTGGACAGGGGAGAGAAATGGGCAGGGAAGTAACACTTTTGCAGTAGTTTTTTTGGGTGGTGGTTGTAGTTTTGTCTAGATTTTTAAATTCCTCTATTCTTCCTCAAATACTCCCTGGTAGTGAGAGTTCCAGTTGGTAGAAATGCCAGCAGCTGCGTAGCATAAGTATAAATAATATACTGTTGAACTGTTGACTTTATTGTCCCCTCTGGGAAACTTTTTTAGGGGGAAACTAATTGCTGCTGTAGATCTGAATTCATCATAAAACATTACACATGCACAACTTGTTACAACACAATCATGAGATATCGCCCATAGTCCGCTACAGCATGATCGGTTTATATTGCCATTTAATTGCTGTGACCAGGGAGCAAATGGGAAAATTAGTATCTGTTTGATCTACGTTTAGGAATCCTGAAACATTTTTCCGGAGCAAAGAAGCGGATTTTCAGAATTCAGAATCCGAAAGGGATCTGGCGTGATTTTTTTTTTCCCACCCGTTTCATTGTGGATTGTTGCTGGCTCGCTCCCCTAACCTTCACGGCTGTTTAGACAAAATGGGGGATTTTTTTTTTATCCGAATCGCACTGATAAATTACCAAACCGGACTGTTATACTGTATCTAATAGTACTCTCAATTACAGCATGGCAGAAGGGGGAGCAGGACTTCCTGTTTAACTTGAATCACTCTTCATAAAAAAAAAAAAATGCACACAACCTCCTGGGCAAACACTCTCAACCTGGGTAGTCAAGCTTAATTAATCATTAATCTCTCTGTGCCTTCACAAATTCGATGCTTGTGTAACCTGGACTTAATTCCAGGTGTATTGTTTCTAAATGCATTGGTTGACAATTCCCTGCAAACCCACTAGTGAAGCTAATTGCCAAAGCAGAATTGTTTTATCCCTGTATGCAGTGTCAGCTTGTAATCAGGAGGCGTGCTGGCTGGTAAGAGGCAGGTGTGTCTGTACTCACTGTTGTTGTGATAGGTCATATGGCCAGGGGTCTCTGTCTTCTTGTACACCCCCACAATCTGCTTGCAGGTCCCGTGTCTGCGTTCAAGAGCAAAGCAATAGGGTCAATAGGGTTCAGCTTCTTTATATCGGAGGCATCATATATCATCCTATTTCAGGCATTTGAAAGCGTAACTAATTCAAATTCTGAATTAAAAAAAGTGCCGACGGATATAGGTCGGGCATATTTTTAAGTATAATCCACACTTTTGAACAAATTTGAAATTCCGTGCCACCTTATCGGATATCAGGGGGAAAAACAAATCTAAATGTGTTTTGTTGGAGTGAAATGTCATCTTCTTGTGAGGAGGTTGGGCGAGATGAGCTGAAACTCGTTCATGGTCCTGTGCGGTTTGTACGTGGAGTTGCTGAGCAGGATAGAAGATTTCATCCCATATCGGACATCTGAGTTCATATTACCAGAGATATTCAAATACGGTCAGTTGTTTGTTTTTTTTTTTTGGAAGTCTGTTGACTTGGGCGCTAGATTGACTTTTGCGAAATGGAAGGCCTTTCTGTTGTCTTGTCGTGGGGAAATCGTTTTTTTTTTGTTGAGCATTTCCAGCGGACTTAATGTGCTTTTTGCAAAATGTACCACACCTCGCGGATCGGTGTCCCTTTTAACGATACGGTCATGAGTTTAAATTAAGACAAATTTCATTTAAATAATTACAGAGATAAAGTGCCTGCTGTGATATCCGACAATGACGTGCCCTTTAATGGCGAACATTACTGTCTTTTCTTCCTCTTATAATTGTATTTGATAAAACTGATAGCCACAAGGTCTGGTGATACTTCAGTCGTGCAATCACACTTTATAAGGGTACACGTAGTAAGTGTGCCCATTCCTTTCACAGCATCGACAGTGTTTCATGTCCTCTCAGTACATTGCAGCTTCTGAAATGCTTGTAAATGGAGTTAAATGGCTTTTGCAGCTAATCTGAAGGGGCGCTGGACAGTGTGCATGAGTGTCTCGGGGGCTGGGGGCTCTGACCTCGTGAAGGTCATCGTCATATCAATCTCAGTGCTGTCCTCCGAGGGCTGCAGGTTCAGGGTCCCCATACTCATCTTGTCCTTGTGCTTCTGCACCCAGGGGCAGGTGGAGCCCAGGGCGATGTCATACCACTTGCCCATGAACTGCCGGGGACAGGGAGAGAGAGAGAGAAGAGGCTCCTTATCAGATCAATAAAAGGCGGCATCGCAATTAAAGAAGGTAAAGCAAAAACACTGAACCCCCCCCCACCACCACCACCACCACCACCACCACCCCCCGTGACAATTCTGTGACTTTTCATCTTGTCCATTGATCTCGCACAAGGGCAGCGCTTGTGAATCCCAAAGTGCTGAGCAGCTCCTGAAAAGCTGTATTCTGAGCGCGGTGATGGCGCAGCTGGGGGGAGAAAGGAGGGGTGAGGAGAAGGAGGTGGAGGGAGAGCGGGCAGGGGAATAATAATTCATCATCTTTACGCTTTAGAGGAAGAAAAACAGGGTTGGACGAAGAAAACGAGCAAGAGGTACTGTGCCAAGAGGGAAAGAGAACCCTTTCATTTCCAGAGAACCGCGTGGTGCCATTTTTTGGGGTTTTGTTTCATCGTGACTCTGTAATTGGCTCCTAGTTTTCCCACCCTGGAGCCACAGACGTAGAAAACTCACAGACGTAAAGAGGCTGCCTTGAGGGCCCAGGTGCTCCCCCAGAGCAGGAGGAATAAATCAGTCAGCCACAGCGCTCTCAGCACAGACAGGCTCTGCAGGAGCTTGGGAACGGGGAAGTTTGTCCTGCCCCTGTAGCCTGTCCCGACAGCCACAGGTCCAGTATCCCCGTGTGGTGATCGTGCACAACCTCAGCTTTCCAACCACAACGGACACATTTTTTTTACTAAGCAGCAGTTGTGGGCTTGTGCGCGCGTCACTAATATTACTTGCTAAACAACGCAAAATCCAGTTTAACCGCACTGGGCTCTGCAGGCTTCTTAGGAAGTTGTGTTGTTTCTCTGAATCGTCGCTGTCTAGATGTTTGGAAACAAGAGGAGGGCCATTCGACCCCTTGAGCCTGTCGAACCGTTAGGAGTTTGGGGGAGCAGCAGAAGAGGGGCGAACAGAAGGAAAGGAACAGAACAGAAGCAGATCCCCAAGGCGGAAGAAGGGGGTCATTTTCTACCTTATCCAGGTCGAAGTTCTCCTGAATCTCCACGGCCGGGGGGGCATCAGGCAAGGGTACCCCCAGGGCGAGGGGCAGGAAGGCAGCGAGGAGGGCACACAGAGGAATCCGCATCTTCACACTGAGGGCGCTGAGCGAGCTCTCTGAGTCTCTGAGCTGTCCAGGCTGGGCTGTGAGAAAAGACCCTTGTTTGTTCCCCAGAATGTGGCTCACCCCCCACCCACCTCCCCACCTCTGTGCCCAAGTCACACGCTCTCACTCACCCTAACCCCCCCCCTGCTTAGGACATTGACCCCTGGGGCATGTGTGCTTACCCCCGACAGCAAACAGCAGCCCCGAGCAAAGGGCTCCGTTTTATCTCTGCTGTTGCTGTTGCTTTTACTTGAACAGAGACCAGGAGACGGAGAGCCGCTTCAAGGCTTCTGTCGGGATAGCGGCTCCCGCAGTGCCCGCTGGGATTGCTTTCTAGAGCTCGGCTCTTGCGGCGGCCCAGATTAGACAGAGTCTTGGAGACGCCACAAGCAGGGGCCTAAATCTAGTCGGATAGCAGGTTTCGGAGATGGCCAGCAGCCATATCACCCTGCAGCTCAGGGCTGGCAGCCCCACTGGAGCCTGGTGTGAGCCTGGCCAGTACCTGGATGGTAGACCTCCTGGGAAAGTTGCTGCTGGAAGAGGTATCAGAGGGGCCAGTAGGGGGCGCCCTGCAGTCTGTGTGGGTACTAATGCCCCGGTATAGTGACGGGGACACTATACTGTAAACAGGTGCCGTCGATTGAGACATAAAAGTGAGGTCCTGATTCTCTGTGGTCATCAAAATCCCAGGGCGTTTCTCATAAAGAGCAGGGGTGTAACCCCGGTGTCCTGGCCAGATTCCCCCCTGGCCTTAACCAATCATGGCCTCCTAATAACCCCCATCTCTGGACTGGCTCCATCACTCTGCTCTCCTCCCCACTGAGAGCTGGTGTGTGGGGAGCACACTGACGCTTTCGGCACTGGTCCCGACTTGAACTAAACCCGGCTGGGAGGACGACCCTCCCTCCCTCCCCCGACCCCTGACCCCCAACAGCCACGTGACCCCCCTCCCACATGGTCACATGGGAACGATGTACAGTTTGCGTAACCTTACAGGTAAACAGCTAAAAGGCTGCATCATTGCGTTTTGCATAGGAAGCCAATAAAAAAAGAAGACCGTGCACTCCCCCCTGGCTTTTACAGCCCCACCGCAAAAGCGGAGTCAGGGGTCAGAGGGGTGTTCACCAGGGCCTCTTGTTTACTATCTGACAGGCTCGGCCTTCCTGTGCCTGTTTGCAGAAGGGAGACAACACTGGTGTGACGGTAAAGGCATTTCTCAAGTTGGCCTCTGGTACACTTGTGTTGCCCAAGCAAGTTGACATCTGAGCTCACTCCCCCACTGACCTGCTGTGCGAGAGACTGGCGGAGTATATGTACGCCTACAGTACATGTCAATATTTTATAATACGTCTTTGTAAACGTCTGTAAAACTTCTGTTTTTTGTTTTGTTTAATGTACATATCATTACTTTCATTTGCTTTGGCAGCACTGATTGTACCCATCGGCCATGCTAATCAAGCACCTTGAATTGAATTGAATTGACTGGGCCGATCAATCAAGGCACGGATCTCTTCTGCAGGGTTCGCCGACAAGGCACGGGGCTGCATCGCTTCGCTGGGCTCGTCCCGCCGGGCCAGGGGCGGGCCTGTATCGAAGACGAGATCGAAGAGCGCGAGGTGGCCCGTTTGGGCGATCGGGGCAGGCGCAGGTGGCGTGCCGCGTCCCGGGGCGTTCGGGTTAGGGTGAAGAGATAAGAGCGAGCGAGACCCTGTCTGACCTGTGGAAAGGCAGAGGGCTTTGCTGACAGGGCTCTGCTCTGGGTAATCATTCACCCCCCTCAAACACGGGCAGGGGCTGGAATACCAACATTACTGACCGCTGCAGACAGCCCCCCGTGTACTCGGTCGTGTTTTGTGTTCTGGGCCACGGACGCAGGCCTAGGTTACAGAGCACCAGCGTCCCAGCGTTGGCAGAGTCAGCTGGGAATGAGGTTTACTCAGCCCGTCTGCAAGAAGGCTTTTTAGTGTGGCCCCACTCAAAAGAGTCCCCCCATGGTCTTTATCATAGAGCTCCATGTTACTTTGTAGCCCACATTATGGCTACCACTAAAGCACAGTCCTCGCTGGTATAACCCAGTCACCTGGTATAACCAAGACCCCCATCCTTGTTGGCACCAGGGCATGATCTCAAATGTAGCGTCTTGCCGTCGGGCCTTGCTACAGCAACGAGAGCCGCCTCACTGCGTGTTCGACTTCCTAACGAGACAAGATGTTACAAATCGCACACAAGTTTTGAGTTTCCCCTGCGCGGCTTGTCTGACAGAGGCTCCTGGGAGGTCAGCCGCTGCTGTCGTGTGCTCTGAGCTCCTCCTGACCTCGGCCCCGTGGCTACAACAGAGTCGCACTCAAGTACACACGCCAGTCATTGTTCGCAAGGACAGAACGCACGATTTATTCAGTTACAACCACACAACATCGCCCTTTGTTCCGTAGGCGCTGTAAGTGAACTGCAGCGGCTGGGTGCCGTTGCGAAGGGGGACAGAGGAGAGGCTGTGGAGGGCAGGCGTCTCCGCGGGGGGTTTTGTTGTCTTCCGAGACAGAGGAAGGTGCGTCTTGCGGTCCGTCGATTTCCCGCGGGGCTTGTAGAGAGCAGGAACAGGGGGGCGACCGTGTGCACTGCCAGCCTTTGTCCAGGCCTTCTCGGTTTGGACGCTGAGGGGCGGCACGGGAACGAGGTGGGTGAACTGCAGGGTGGCCGGCCTTCCGTTTTGTCTCACCGCCAGGAAGGCACCGACCGGGGAGGAAGGGAGGTTCTCCCAGGAGCTATGCGATGGAGGTGCGGACAGCTCTCCCGCCGGTAACCCTGAGGCCCGATGCCGGGTCCGAGAGAGCTGTAGAGCACCGTGCTGGGGGCGGGGAGGAGGAATTGTCCCGGGGCAGGGGAAATAGAGGCAGGTGAGGGGTGGAAGAGAGGCGGATAGTGGCGATGGCTTTGAGCTTTCAGAGCAGGGCAGTCTGATCTCTCCGTAGCTCCTGGGTCTCCAGATTGACTGGTCTGTTAATACACAACGTCTGTTAATACACAGCGGATTGTCCTGCACGTGGGTGCTATCCCCGCCAGCGTCCACCAGGACGGGTGGCACCCTGGTCCCGGAGTGCCCCTGCCCCTATCCAGCAGGCGATGTGGGTCGCCTTTAAGTTAATTAAGTCATTGATTTCTAAAGACCTGGAACAACTGATCTGTGATCAGTTAGACGGGGGGTTTAAAAAGCAATTTAGTGACTATTTTATACCAAGAAGTTGGCCCTCAGGGAATCAGACTTCCCTTAATTGAACAAATTTATTGCTTAATTGGTCAGCGACTTACAACTGTTCCCGATCTTTAAAAAAGCAGGTCTTTGAACTTAACCTGTAAAACAAACTGGACTAGGGCTCTCTGGGGCCAGGGGTTGGGGACTCTGGGTTTATGTTATCATCCACTCAACCGTTTTCTAACCTCTGTATCCAGTACAGGGTTGTGGGGGAGCTGGAGCCTATCCCAGCAAGCTACAGGTGCAAGGCAAGGGTACACACCAGTCCATCTCAGGTAACTTAAGGTAGTATTATTATTAGTTTTAAGTGATTTTGCTTACAATTCTGAATGTGTTTCTGGATTCTCAGACGAAAAGCTACCTCAACATGAATATGTACATCCATCCATTCATTTATGAACACCCTCCTCTGTGATTTGACTTCAGTTTTGATCATACACAGTGTACGCTGAAGCAAGTGGAATTGCAGGATCACTTTTGTTTTTCTCTGTGCCGGTCAGTGCCTGAAGTGTCCCGATGTTCCACAGAGGCCAGGATCCTGCAGCCCCGACCGCTGTGTTAAGAAACAGAGACAGACGCCCCACTCACCTAAATTCCACCTGGGGGACAGTCTTCTGCGGACAGGGAAGAAGAAAACAGGTGGGTTATATTTTAAGCTTGCAAACACATTTCATGCACCTTTAAAATAAAAAAAAAATCATTGCTAAGGTCCAGTCTCTGTTTTTCGTATGCAGAGCAAGTTTGTTTTTGCCCCCCCCCTGAGCGGACTACAAAGGTCAAAGGTCACAGAGCACAGCTCTCATTACAGTGTTGCGATGTCGGGGCCCTTTGCACGTATAAAAGTGATCCTTCTTGACCGCTTGTCTGTCGCCCCCTGAGCTGCACTACACCCCTGAGGCCAGGAGTGGACAGCTCCCTCATAGCGCCCCACAGTGCCCTTCTGCAGGGGTCAGGGGCTGGGGGTCGGAGTTCGTGATGCCGACTGGCCTCCGAATTTTGCCGGTATTCATGTACTATATATAGGTGGGCTGACTGGAGCACTGGGGGTGCAGAACCTGGCTAATGGGGGTACAACGTCAACAGAAATGTCTGCGCTGGAGACTTGAACCCCCAGTACCCCTGGATTTCCCAGGCCTGAGACCCCCCTCCCCCATCTGTGTCAGGCCCTGCATGATGTGCCACAAGCCCAGCTGACGTGCGGCTCGCTTGTCATCTCCCTCAGGGCCGCGGCAGGAGGGTGCCCCCCCCTCTCACCTGTCGGAGGCGGGGTCAGGATGGATTCGGGAGAGAATCCCTGGGCCAGCGCAAACTCCCGGAACTTCTCCAGCAGCTCGGGTCTCAGCCTCTCCGTGCGGCCTGTCGGGCGGTCAGAGTCGTGAGAGATGAGCCGGAGGGGAGAAAGAGAGAGGAGAGTGGAGGAACCAACGCGTCCGCAAGTTAGGGGTGAGTCCAACTCTGTGGCAGTCAGGAACTCAAACTTTCAAATTCTACATATACATGATCTGATTACTATACTGTGTAAGGCATATAGAGTTGTTGCATACATTACACCTGTACCTTCTAGCAGCTGGGCAAAAATGTTTAAGACTTGTTTTGCATTAATTAATTAACATCTGGGGTCAGAAAAACCTTTCTGTCTGCTCTTACATTCCATGGGAGCAACCTTTGGGAGCTACCTTCTTCCTCAGGATAAAGCCAACAGCTTTAAGATGTAAATGCTGTCTAAATAATTAATCTGAGTGGGTTCCTCAAAAACTGGCCTGCTCCTGCAGGAGGCCTTTAAACTGCAGTGCGTGATGGGATGTCAATCCAGCAATCCTTGCCCTCCGCACGCTCACCCTGGATTTATTCCTGGTGGCACAAGCCAGCTTACCGTATAGCGCCACCTGGGAATATTCCTTGTCCATCTTCTTGTGCTTCATCACCAAGGCGTACTCGTCGTAGTTGGTCTCCACGATGGTGATGTCCTTCACCCGGTTGTGACCTGAAACACGCGTGCCGACAAACGGTCCCCATGAGCACAACGCCGTACAACACCGGCCCTGCCCCGTGACTCCAGCTTGGAGGATCAGAGCACAGCGTCTCTTTCTGTGGCCAATCGCCCGGCCGGACCCGGGTCAGGCGTGGTCTGTGCCCAACAACAGAGAGAACCGGGCACCTTTTCCAGAGGTTAGCGCGACAGTGCCTGCTTACTGGTGCTGAAGTAGGTGAACTGGCCCGGGACAGCTGTCTTCTCGTACATGTACATCCTGCTGCGGCAGCCAGAGGACCTGAAAGACGTTTAGACAGGAGGCCGTGTGAGGTTCTCGCCCTCAGGACTGCCCTGTGCTTTCGTTCTTTGGTTAATGCACCAAAAAAAAAAAAACAACCCCCACAAATTTAAAAGGTCCGAAGATTATTTTAAAACGTGTTTTCAAAATAAAGTTAAAGTGTGTTTTTAAGATAAAAAAAAATCTGCAGCGGTAACTACTGTGGTAAATGTAGTTCAGGTGGGGAGCTGCGTCAGCATGCGCATGCTGCTAAGGAGCAAGTAAAGATTTATTCCCTGATGAAAGGAGAAGAAATGAAACACGTTTCAGCTGTGGAGCCTTCTTTGGGTGTGGGAGCCTTCTTCGGGGTTGAAGAAGCCGAAACGTTGTTTCTTCTCTTTTCAGCAGGGGATAAACCCATTACTTGTTACTGTGGTAATGTTTATGCAAAACAGTTGCTTGGGTGTGGTTTCTCAAGCTTGTATCCCACAGTCCTGTGCCCTTGCCAGGAATTAGCCATGCTTTTGCTCTTCTTTATTGAACTCTACTCTGCTTTTGATCATGCTATACCACAGTCATCTGCTATGGGCCTTTCTCCCCTGAGTGGGCTGGAGCTGTGTGTGTGGGGGGGGAAATCCCTCGCAGTGCATTGTGGGACGCAGCCCTTGCAGTGCATTGTGGGACGCAGCCCTCGCAGTGCATTGTGGGACACTGTGCTGTCACTCAGAGCATGGAGGACTTGTCAGTTGTCCTTTGGTTGTAGCGATGCCCCCTGGTGAGAAGAGGGGAGACTCACCTCGCTCCCCACATGGTGACGTTGACATTCCCATTTTCCATAGGGGTCAGGATCCCCTTGGAGATGCGCAGCATGTGCCGGAACGGAGCGAAGGCGGGGGAGTCGTAGGCGAGTCCGACACGATACCACCTCCCTGCGAACTGGACGCAGAGAGAGAGAGAGGGGGGAAAGAGCAGGGGGTCACCAGAGCAGCACGCCAGGGCAGAGCAAGGGAGAGGTCAGAAACGAGAGGAGGTCTGGTCACTCTGCCGCAAGAATCTGCCCCCGAGAGCTGCTGCATTCGGGGACATCTACACCCAAGGGGTACCTCTCATCACCTGTGCTTTTTTCTTCGTACTGTCGTTTAGGTCTTCTAACCTCAAGCGGTGCGTCAGAGGTGGTTTTCAGAAAGCGTTCTGCAGAGCGACGGGTTCTGTGGCCTGCGCTGGGCCAGTGTCCCATCCGGGGACGAGCCGTGACTCCTGGGCTGCCCCTGTCCCGTGCCTCCACAGCGGGCCCGAGCGGGTTTTCCCTTCATTGCACACGAGCTCTCGGTTCCCTTGGGTCTCACGTAACTAACTGCACACCTGGAACGCGTCCGTCCGTGTCCTGAGCCATTCTGCAGGTAACTACCAATCTACTGTACAATCCAATAGATGAGGCGAAGTCAGAAAAGGGGGTTCATTGTTTCATTGACTCGTCAGGCTGCAATAAGCATCAGAAGACACAGCACCCCCCCCCCAGGGTCTGAGTCTGAGACCCCTGCTGTTGGTGAAGTGTAAAAAAAAAAAAACTGCATGACTGCCCAGGAAAGCAGAACTCTCAGAATGTGTGCAGCACGACTGCTGCTATCTCGTAAGGCTAATGTTAGAAAATCAAACTGAAAGGTTTGTAGATCCTTCTCCCTGTATAAATCTGTCTCTGAAGTTCACAGTCACACCACGGATCTCGTCGGTGTCCCAGGTGCTGATGTGCGCATGCCTCGGGGAGTTAACTCTACAGACATTCCAACGGGAGTCTGGGGGAATCGAACCCTGGACCGCGGGGTTCTCCGCCGTCACCAGCTCGCCTGGTGATCTCTCCCCCCCCCCTGTAGAGGAATCGCTGACTGCGCCGCGGGAGAGAAGCCTTCCTGCTGCAGCTCAGCGCGTAGTGTGGTGGCAGCCGTACGGGGGAATGGCACCCACGGTGGTCCCGCAGCAGAGACCCGGCCGGGGGGAGAACTGAAACCCCACTTCCAGCCCGTCAGAGCCCCTCCTCCCTGCCTCTCCAGCCCCGAGCGATTCCAGCCCAGCGGCCCAGTGAAATGCCCGGATCCAGCCGCCCCCACGCTGAAAGAGCCAGTCGGGGCTTTTGTCTGCCAGCAGTGCATTTAACATGAGAACAGTTGCTAAAGAGAGGAAGGCCTTTCAGACCAGCTGGCTCGTTAGGGGGTTTTTTGACGAGCTTTCCCGCGCGGCCGAGGCGCCACTCTCCCGCCCCTCCCTGTCCCTCATCGCCCGAAGTCAACCCCGCAGGCAGTTTTGGAGTCCAAAGGGTCTTAACCTGCACGTTTTTGTTTTTTAATCTTATAAAAATTGGCGGCTTGCGGGATGGCACGTGGACGCGCATGGAGGGTAACCTTGACCCCTGCTGTAAACGCAGCGACACACCAGCGCGTTTTTGCACAAACAACGGTATCTGACCCCCCTGTCAGCCGGTCGTGCTGCTTTTTGTGAGGTAGTCGCACTGTTATTTGACACTTCACCGACAGCAGGGGGTCTCAGCCTCTGGTCCTGGGGGGGGGCTGTGTCTTCTGGTGTTGGTCGCAGCCTGACGAGTCAATTAACCAATTAAACAGTGGCCGTGGCCTCAGAACGCGGGACAGAGGTGTTACAGTTCTGCAGCTCGTGCAATAGCCAGACCCACGGGAACCCAGAGCTTGTGTGCAATAAAGGCAAAACGGCGTAGGAAAGGAGCACAATCCCAAACGAAAACAGAACAAATAATCAGATTAAAATGAATGAGAGCACAGCTCCCGGTGAAAGGCACCAGCGGAACAGCAAACCCCCTCATGTTTTTAATGGTTTCAACAAATCTAAAATTTAGAAGCAAGTTTTGCTTGAGGATGCAGTTGCCTTTTATGTTTGTGGATATATATCGAAATATGGAATAAACCTTTACCTGTTCCATTGCGCCCAATGTAAGCTGACGCAGCTCCCTGCTTGCACTATATCAAAATAAGCCACCTCTCCTTTTTAAGCCAAAATGACTTTTCAACCACCATTCTAATGATATCTATTCGAATGATATATTGGAGGTCAGCGGCGCGAGATGGCTGGCGCTCACCTTCTGGAGATCGAAGTCTTTCTGCGGCTGGACCTCGCCGCTGGCCGACAGGGCGCAGAGCAGGGTCAGCTGGACGCCCAGCAGACACGGCTTCATTCTTCCCGGAGAGAGAGATGTCTCGGCTGTCCCCACAGAGCATGCACACAAACACCGACTGAACTCGCTGCTCCGCTGGGAGGGGCTTTATACTTCCTGCGGCCGCCTGCCTCTCTCCCTCTCTCCTTCCCGCCCAGACACTCCACCCCCTCCCTCCAGCCTGCTCTCTCCACCCCCTGCTCCCGGATCCCCACTGGGGACAGACCCAGCAAGGTGATGTGTGAAAAGAGAGGAAAAACAACAGGGACGGGAAGTGATGTCATCATGCATTGTTCAGCAGTCGTCCACAGGGTGTTGAGCACCCAGAAGGGGGGGGGTCTTTGTTTTGAAACGAGCGTCTGGAAGACATGGGTGGGGTGAAAGAAGAAAAAGCCATTGATTCTCCCCCCCCCCAATCCTTCACACGTTGCTGAACAGTCTCCCCATCACGTGGGCTTGGATAAAGACAGCACACGGGTCTCAAACTGCACCAGAGTTCACTAAAAAAAAAGCTCATTTACATCTGTAGTAAAGGTCAGTACCTCTAGTTCCCCTGTCGTCCCGCTTGCTTCGGTTGAAAACAGACAATCCCCTGATTGAGAATGTTTCTATGATTGAGTAGTTTTATGGCTTGTGTGTACTCATTGCTAAGTGTGGAATAGTTTTGATTTTTGACACCCAGGTGGGGCTGCACACTGGTGATGGTGGAGGGGATCCCCATTACCTGTAAAGCGATTTTAGTGGAGTGTCCAGAAAAGCGCTATATAAGTGTAAGCTATTATTTTATTATTTTTTTTTTTAAAAAGGTGCCTGTAGCTGTGGCCCTTTCAATCAGGACCAGAGCTTGAAATTCAGCACTGGTCTCCCCCTCCCATGCCTTTGTCGGTGCATCCAAAGCGGCCCCAGAGGTTAGAACACAGACATCAAACCAGAAACGCAGTCGTGATTACTTCAAACACGTTTTAATTACGAGTTTTCTCTCTCCAGCTCCACCAGTGCCCGGGACTCATCAGTGTAGATTCCAGTCCCTCTACACGGCTACAGAATTAGAAACACGGACGCCACCGGACACGAAACAGCCCAGCCCGGGCAGTGGCGGACATACAGTAGGTCAGCGTTTTCAATGCACAGACAGCTGCCGTCTGAATGGTACAGTAGCGATCAGTTTACAACAAAGTTCTTCGCCAGCTCTGTGCACGCACTGGTAGGTCTTTTTAGAAAATGCGTCCTTTTTCACTTGGTGGAAATGGTCAGCGACTTGCCCCACCCCTCCAGCTCACTTGAGATTGAATTCCAACACCTTTTCACAAGCAGGAAAAACGACACCGGCCTCAACAGCAGCTTGGGTCCACGGGCGAGCGGGTAGGAGCAGCACGTGTGCGTGTGATGAAAGGAGAACCCTTTCCCCTTATTTTAAACAAGAAAGACCTTCAAATTTGCATGAACAAGGAGAAGGCCGGCGTCCGGGAACTGCCCATCACTTATGGTGATTCACCTCTTCAACTGCAAATCTGCCCTGACGACCAGCTCGTCTACTCCCCTCTAGCTGTATTTCAGCTCGCCTTCAGCTTTCCTTCCGCAGGGCTGCCGTTCCAAGTACCTTAGTGTTCGGATCGAGTCCCCGCTGCAACAATTCGTCTCAATTGAAACATGAAGCCTCAGGAAAAGAAGAAAGGTTACAAAGGAGAGGAGGCCAACTGGGCAGTCGATCCCATTTGGTCGTTGGTAGCTAATTGAGCCGGGGGTCTCAGAAAGGAGCCCCTTCACTGGCTCCTGGTTGTGCTGTTCCATGTTCCCACCACCCTTTGTGTAAAGCGCCTCCTGGCACAGGTCGTATTTTAGACCTACGGGGGCTGTCAGCTGTACAGCAGGTAAACACATCAGTCCTGCGAGAATGGGTGCCCGATTGCTCAGCCAGGCCACTGGAAGTGCCCACCTCCCCCGTTGTCTCCCCAGAAACCGAACTGAGCATGTAGAGCCACTTTGTCAGTGTTTTTTGGTCATTTTAATCCCCCCCACCCCCCACCCACAGCGGCCTCCCTGTCTAGTGAGATCCAGGCTCTATCAGCATCTCATCACCTGTGTGGCGTCGCCTGAACACGAGTGCACTCCTCCGTCCCCGTGAGCCCTCAGCTCAGAGAAATGGACAGATCAGTAAAGTCAGATGGAACAATCACTGCCCCGACGAATAAACCATTTATCCCGCTTAGGAGATGGCGGTTTTGGGGGGCCGGTAGTGTGTCTGCATGCTCGGCTCGATATTATTCTGGAAGCATTTATCCCACTGCTCTGCAGGGCCGGGAATCAATCGAGAATACAGATGTTACCAGAACTGTTATCGCTTCACACTGCCGGTTCATATTCCAGTCTCGTCCCCTTGCGGGACACGGACTTTACACTGAGGAGAGCGATTTCACCAGAGTAGAGAGGGGTAGCAGTCCGTATCCTCACCCCTCTGCGCCCTCAGTACCTCAGAATCTGTGCGTCAGTAAAGAAATTAATGTTAACTGCACTTCTAGAACTGGTACAGTACCTGGTTAGTTATTCCCTCAGTTTGCTATTCTAGAAAAAGGAACAGGATGCTATTGAGGGCGAGTTGCGAAAGCAGTCCTGAATGTTGTTTCTATCATTGCTGCTCCCGGGACAGGAGATGGGCGTTAGCGTGCCGGTGTCAGTGAGCTCCCCGGAACTGAGCTTCGATCTGCTCCAGGGACTTGCCCTTGGTCTCGGGAACGAGGGCGACGGTGAAGAGGACGTTGAGGACGCACATCCCGGAGAAGAGCCAGAATGTCCCCGCGCTGGTCAGCAGATCCTGAGCGCGAAGCCCGAGAAAAAAAGACAACAGGGAGAGTTGGAACGCCAGTGGGATGAGCAGAGGTAGGAACTGCGACTTTGGGGGGGGGAATGGCAAAACCCCCAGTCGAACACGTCCTGGTTGGGGAGGGCGAGGGACGCCGACCCCAGAACTCTACCCTCTGGGAAACTGGGGGACCCGCAAGGTCAGTGCCTAACCCCATCACCTGTACGACAACCGGGCCATCCTACTGGATCAGACAGATGGGTCTGGGCCGCATGTAGAACTAGCAGCCGAGCAGGCCAGCCTCTGGACCGGTACCTGACAGACCCCACTCCAAGGCACTGCTGCCGGCCCTTGAGTGAGCCACGTGTTCTCTTCCTCTTAAGGCTACAGAACCCAGGAGGAGAGCTGGCCCAGTGAGCCGCTGTGATTCTGGTCTGGACCGCGCCCGTTACGTGTACCGACTCGGGCTGCTCCCAGATTTCCCCAACGTTTTGGCCCCACGAAAGCCCCCTTGTCGCACAACGCCCGAACCCCGGGTGTCGCTGGCCCCCCCCGCTCACCATGAGGTTGTGGAACTCCTTGGTCACCAGGAAGGCCGAGGTCCAGTTGGTCAGCACGCAGGCCCCGCTGGCCAGCCCCCGGGCTTTCGCCGGGAAGATCTCCGACATCACCAGCCAGGGGATGGGGCCCCAGCCCAGGGCGAAACCTGGGGCACGGGGGAGAAACGCAGAAGGTGAAGGAGAGGTGGGGCGGTACAGCGTCTCCCGGCCCCGGGTTCTATTCAGCTATTCTAGTGTGGCGTCTGTGTGGAGTTTGCACGTTCTTTCCACTTCATGTAGGTTTCCTCCCACAGGCCAGAGACGCGCTGCCTTCTGGGACAACTGGCCCCGGCGCGAGTGTCTGTGAGTGCCCCGCGATAGACTGGCGTCCCATCCAGGGCGTGCCCTGCCTCGCGCCCGGTGCTTGCTGGGATAGATTCCGACTGCCCCGCGATCCTGAATTGGAATAAGCGGTTTGAAGAAGGGGGGGCGTCCCAACGAACGGGGTCACCAGCGCCCCCAAGCAGGAACTACTCCAGCCATCCGGCTGGCAAGGTTGGGTTCTGAACGCGTCGTGGGGGCCGTGGCGTTTGGACGCTCGCGCCTCCTGACGCTACGCAGTAGGCGTTCGGATCTGCCCGCAGAGCTACTGCGTTTCAGTGGCCGCAACGTAAAAAATAATGATGGAGGAATAGCCCGGTCCTTTTTCGACCCTCTTGTTTTTAAATGAAAAAGCATAGAATACACCCGAGTGCAGGTCACAATTCTCTAAACTGGGGTGTGTGAGAAGGAGGCGGGGCGAGTGCGAGGCATCCCATAATGCACTGTGGGGCTCAGGGTGACCATGGGTGGGAGCAGCGTGGGCACAGTCCCGTTCCTGGATTTTCTCTGCGAACGCGAATCTTGAGAAAAAAGAACCCTGGTTTTGGAGGCCGAGTCTTCCTGAGGCTGTACCTGCGATGAAGAGCCCCATGCTGGCCAGGGCCAGCCAGGCCAGGCTGCCCTCAGAGGGGGGCAGCGCGGAGCTCTGGGCGGCCAGGAGGGGGACCCCGCTCAGAGAGGAGCCGTTGGTGGGCGCGGCGCTGGTGATCTTGAAGTACGCCCCAAACACGGCCGTGCTGACCGCCATGGCCAACCCTGCGGACACACAGTGGGGGAGAAGGACAGCCAGCATTACCATCACCAGCCCGGGGGGGGGGCGCTCAGTCCTGGGCAATGCAGGGGTACCGGGGGTTCAAGTCTCCAGCACAGACATTGCTGTGGACATTGTACCCCACATGAGCCAGGTACTGCACCCCGAATGCCCCAAATACAGCCCACGTGTATACAGGAATATCGGCATTACTGACAATGGACTAGCGCCCTCTACAGGGCAAGACTTGGAACTCTGCTTAATACAATACAAAGACAATTTGTTAATTGGATCTTCCCTGCAAGCCCATTACAATACCAATCACGCACTGTGCGTAACAGTGTAACCCCAGAGTCCTGGCCAGATTCCCCCCTGGCCTTTACCAGTCACGGCCTCCTAATAACCCCCATCTCTGAACTGGGTCCATCACTCTGCTCTCCTCCCCACTGAGAGCTGGTGTGTGGGGAGCGTACTGGCGCACTATGGCTGCCGTCGCACCATCAAGGTGGGGGGGGTTACACATTGGTGGTGGCAGTGGGATTGCCCATTCCCTGTAAAGTGCTTTAAGTGGAGTATCTAGAAAAGCGCGGTGTAAGTGTAAGGGTATAATTACGATTAATTATTTAACTGCTGGTGCTTTGCAGGATCAATGTAACAGTCTGCGTTAAAAGTCAGAGACCGCATCGGCCCCAGTGAGACTCACCCGAGAGGACGAGCAGGACTTTCCTCCCGGCCCGGTCCATGATGAGCGCCGCCAGGGCCGTGAAGACCACCTGGATGGCAGCCACGATCACCGTGGCGACGCTGCTGGCCTTTTGAAACAAACAAAAAAAACCAACCAGCCGTTAAGCTCATGGCACCGATCCCTGGAATCCGGCCTGCGGATCGATCCGGCTGTCTACAGCCTTGGGAGATGCCTCCCCCCACCTCCCGGTCCTCCAGCCAGAGCAGGGAGGGGAGGGGGGGGGGTGTTCCCGCACATGGCCGGCCCGAAAGTCGAGTACGGAGCTCGAGAAATATGTCCTTCCCGAGCGAAGGAGCGGCACCCGGCATGCAACGTACTGCACCATGGTCGCCAGTCAGCACTCCGTAACCATCCGGGTTCTCCCCCCCCCAGGACACCGCAGTGGGGAAACTGCGGACAGCGGAGCAATATTTGAGTACGTTGGGCTGCTGTTCCCAACACCAGCCTGGACACGGCACCCTGAGGGGATGCCTATGGAATTTACAGGCGGTCACGGACTACTCCGGAAACACGGGGACGTCTGCGAACAAGGATGCTGGGTCCTGGCACCAGACTTGAGGTTTACGCATTAACAATGACACAGGCTCTCCCTCGTTAACCTTCTCCTGGCTGACTTCAGTTCGTTTCTTGAGCTGAAGATGAGCGTCTAAACAAAGGAACGGAAATATCGAGGTAACTGGTAAAACGTTGACAACGCCCACGGGGGATGTCCACCGCACTCTGCCGCACCCGGCCAGCGCGGAAGGGAAAACGGGAAGCGTCAGCGGAGCTCGTTCGGGCGCGGCCACGTCATCTCCCTCCTCGTGCGTCGCAGGGACCTCAGCCACCTGGGCTGGGGGGGGGGTCTCCTTTAGCTCACTCGGCTGGTTCCCTGTGGCGTCACGCCGGGAGACCCGGGTTCGGGCCCTAGGTGTTGCGGGGCGAACCGGCGGGTTGGGGTGGAGGGGCGAGGGCGACACGAGGAGCCCAGACTGTGTCTGTGGCGTGACGGCAAAGGGGGGGAGGGCGAGGGGCAGCTACCTGGAAGTTTGCTTCTTCGAAAATGGTCTCGGCGTAGAACATGATGGCGTTGATCCCCGTGAGCTGCTGGAACAGCATCAGCAGGACCCCGATGAGCAGGGGCTTGTAGATGGCAGGGCTCCTCAGGTCTCCCAGCTTGAGGCTGTCGCCCTGCGACACCCGAGTGGGTGGAGGGGGTGGGAGGGAGGGAAACGCGTTAAACAGCAAATGGGGCCCAGACAGACGGCATGCAAACAGCGTGGCGCAACTCAGCGCCGCTCTCCGCTGCACTGAGCGTGCACCCCGAGGCCGGGACAGGCTGAACAGGTGTAAGAGGGGCCAGCAGGGGGCGCTCACCCTGCAGTCTGCGTGGGCCCTAATGCCCCAGTACAGTGACGGGGACACTATACTTGTCCTTCGGATGAGATGTAAAACTGAGGTTTTGACTCTCTATGGTTATTAGAAATCCCAGGGCGTTTCTCAAAAAGAGTAGGGGTGTCCTGGCCAAATTTCCCCCTGGCCTTTACCAATCATGGTCTCCTCATAATCCCCGTCTCTGAACTGGCTTCATCACTCTGCTCACATCCCCACTGAGAGCTGGTGTGTGGGGAGCGTACTGGCGCCTCATCCAGGTGGGGCTGCACATTGGTGGCGGCAGTGGGATTCCCCATAACCTGTAAATCGCTTTGAGTGGAGTGTCCAGAAAAGTGCCATATACAGCAAGTGTGAGGGATTAATAATGATAATAATATCATAACTTCATCTTTACAGTCTTGGCAAGGTGCCCCCCCCCCCGACTCACCTGCTCCCGCGCCGCGGCCTCGATCTGCACGCACTCCCACTCGTGCGGCACGGCCGGCCCCCTCAGGAAGCGCAGGGCCGCCAGCGCCTCGTACTCCCTCCCCTGGGCCAGCAGGAAGCGCGGCGTCTCGGGCATGAAGCACATGAGCACCAGCATCAGCGCCGGCGGCACCGAGCACGCCACCGCCAGCCAGCGCCACTCCAGCACCAGACCTGGGCGGGGAGAGACGCAACCGGGTCGCTCGTTACCACGCCACTCCCCGCCTCGTGGATCGGATCGGGACCAGAGGGGCGCAACGACAGGTAAACCCCACCAACAGCACAGAGCGCCCATGTGATCCCGTCTCTCCGTTCAGCCGCGAGGTTAAAACCAAGCTCTGGGATGGCACGGGTGCGAACAAGGAGTCTGAGACTCAAGAGTCTTGTGAGAACACGGTTCGTACCCCAGTCGCAAGGCACAGAGAGCGGAAAGGAGGACAGGAAGCGCACCACGGGGGGGAACAAAGAAAACGGACAATCCGAACGGTTTACCTGCGATGTACGCTCCCATGATGCCCGTCACCACCATGAGCTGAACGCAGGATCCCAGCATGCCCCGCACCCGGGCGTGAGCCGTCTCCGCGATGTACAACTGGGGGGGCAGACCGTGCGATCAGTGAAGCAGACGTAGCGGCAGCACTCAGAATTCAAGCGTCGTTAAAGGTTTCGAAACTTCCCGTTGAGCTGACAAACCCCCCCACCCCCACCCCCAGGCCATACCCTGGGCCTCTGTGCAGAGCGCTAGGAGCCCGCGGGGCAGAGAACGACACTTCACCCGATATTTAATTCAACTTTCATGCCGCCCGCCCAGTAACCGCGGCAAGGCCCAAGGATGCTGGGAAACCCGCTGCTAGGGTTTGTCCGCTGGCCTCCCCCGGCAACTGTTTCCAACGGAGCCGTTTTTCCCCGCAATCGGACGCGTTCAACTCTCCTGAAACCAAAACCCAACCCCTCGGAAGGAAAAAAAACAACCCCCCCCCCTCCCTTCTGGCAAAACTATTAAACAGACCCCTTTTATTACTATAATGTTATCTCTGCAGAGGCACTACAAACGAACAACTGACCCCCTTATTAATATGCATTAATAAGGAATTTACATACGAGAACAAAGTGGTTTTTCATATCAGACAAGACATAAGTCATTGGCCTCATTAAGACTGCTAATATGTTCTGCGTCACTGCGTTTACTCTCATTATCCCTGCTGCTGCTTTACATACAGGCACTGCTAAGGACGTCACCCCGCTGGCCAGTCCGGTCAGGACCCGTCCGAGGTACAGCATCCAGATGTTCTGCGCGGAGATGATGATGTTGAAGCCGAGGATGAAGGGGACGGCGCAGACCATGAGGCTCAGCTTCCTCCCGATCCTCTCCACCACCCAGCCGCCCAGCACCCCCCCCGCCGCCGCCCCTAGAGTGACCACGGACTGGGGACGCACACGGGGAGACACGGACAGGCGCGGAGGTCAGAGGTCAGAGGTCGAAGGTCCAGGCGGCAGGAGTTTTTAACCCTTTCCGGCCTGAATTTTCGTCTTGGTGTAAAAAACTGGCGGTGTGTGTTTCAGGGTTAAAGAAAACGAGTCGTCCATCACTCTGTACTCCAGTGTTACCCAGAACCCAGAAAAAACTCTGCCCCGACGCACCCCACTTTCAAATCCGCCACCCGCCCAGGAATCCCAGGAAGAGCTGGTGTTTTCCCAGCACTGCCTTCGGCAAACACAGCTCAGCGCCTGGGGACGCGTCTGCTTTCGGAAGGTAAGACTCAATAATAATAATAATAATAATAATAATAATAATAATAATTTTTAACTTATAAAGCACCTTTCCAAAGCTCGAGGACGCTTTGCAAACGCTTCTCTGTCCTGTGCAAGGGAGACGCACTGATCGGCCTTATTACAGATCAATTTTCGATCCCCTGCCCCTTAAATCGAGCGCACCCAGAAAAAGAAAGCCCTACCCCGAACCAGGACGCCTCCTCGTCGTCCAGCTGCAGGCGGGGGTCCCCGGCCCTCTTGAGGCTGGGGATGGCGGGGGAGCTGTAGCCCAGCACGAAGCCGAAACTGAGGGGCCCGAGCACGGCGGCGAAGGTGGCCAGGAACAGGTTCCCATTCTGGACCTGACTGGAAAACACAGCATCGGCTCAGGGGGGCACAGCAGGATTTGAACACGCAGGTTTTCTCCACAGAGGGGGGGGTTGGATCAGTCACGGGGCTTGGCGTTGGGGAGGGGGGGGGCATTAATAAAATATAACTGCTTACACTTAGATAGCGCTTTTCTGGACTCTCCACTCAAAGAGCTTTACAGGTAATGGGGGATCCCACTACCGCCACCAGTGTGCAGCCCCACCTGGATGATGTGCCAGTCCGCTCCCCAAACACCAGCTCTCACTGGGGAGGAGAACAGAGTGATGGAGCCAGTTCAGAGAGGGGGGTTATTAGGAGGCCGTGACTGGTAAAGGCCAGGGGGAAATTTGGCCAGGACACTGGGGTCAGTGTAGGTCATTCTTTCAAACCAAAGACCTAGTCGCTCTGCTCCGGACCGCTTCCAGAGCAGCGCTGCCTTTTCTGGACTGCGGTGATCAAAATCCTATCAACGCACAACATTCTAAACTGACGGGTTATGTAGAGTTTTAACAATACGCTTGTCGATCCAGGTTCTACCGTTTTAACTGCGCTGTATGTCCTGACTGCGCCTTCGCTATTGCAGCGCGGGAGGTGACGAGCGTGGCTCACGCACGTCTGAGACGGCATCCTGTCTCACCGGTTACACAAGCCCCGCTACGTTAGCGGCCGTTAGCGGGAAAGGAGAACGCTACAGCGCACAGCAGCAGACAAAGGACAATCAACTGTTTTCCTGAACTTCAAGGGAAACACAGGCAAAGGTTCTGAACGCCTCTTTATGCAGTTAAATGAGTCAGGGAAGTTATTAATGATTGACGAGAGTAACACATTGTACGTGCACACCCCAGATGCTGTAATACTGCTTTTTTTGTTTTGTTTTCCCAAGTCATCTGTTTGGTCTGTATGCCAAGTAAGGATAATTTATTTTAAAGAAATTAAAACAAGACCCGGAGCAATCAATTGCTCATTAAGGGAGGGGGGAGAAGGGGAAAAAGAAATATGAAAAAAGACCTGAATAAGCTTGGCTCCCCCCACGTTTTTCCCGACAAAGATTTTTGGTGCAGCCTACTCCAGGACCTCAAACACGACCCCTAATGGTCAAAGCGTCTTTGTGGGACAGTGTAGGTGAACTATCACATGTGAATCACATGACTACAGCATTTCTCTGCGGGGGGGGCTGCCACTGACCTAAATACCGTCAGGTTTTAGTTCAAGCTACATACTTGAGCTCTAAATTACCATCGACAGGGGTGACGCCAAGCGCCCACCTGACAAGAGGAGCGTCTTTCGCCAGCCTGCAAATTTAGAGGACCGCGCACCGGCTTGGGGGGGGGATCGACATCGTGTTTTCGGTTTATCGGCACCCACAACAGCGCCGATGGCCGATGATCACCTCTTCACTTCTGTATTTTACAGCTCGCCCCATAAAGCAGAACTGGCAAGTCAGGGTTTCGATCCTCTCGCGTCACTGTCGACGAGAATTCACCCCCCGAGGTATAAACCGCTATACCGGACTATCTCACCCAAGAGCCAAGCTGAGCAAACGCCGGCCACCCTTAACGCCGGGGCATTTTCATTTTGAACTGTAATAAAGGAGGCACCCCCCTCCCAGATGCTCGTACTTACTCGAGGTAGCCCTCCCGGGTGCTGTCCGCCTCGGACAGAGGCGGCGAGTTCACGCCCCCGCGCCCGGCCCCCAGCAGCGCCTCCTGTTCCTCGGACTGCTCCATCCTTCGGGACGCCTTCGATACAAAAAACAAAATACAGACAACGAATGAACCGGGGCCTCCCAACACGCCTTCCCGGCAACGGGTTTGGCAGAAACGCGGCGACCCGAGCTCCTGGGCTTTGCGGTAGCCCAAGGCTGTCCCGGCGACCGGCGCAGATGCGCGTCGTGCCGTGCCGTGCCAAAACCGTGCCGTGCTTACTACCATTAAGGGTCGACGGAGCTAGCCAACGTCGTTTTCCCGTGGCGTGCCAAGCAAGCACGCCGTGTGCGGCGGCGACAACTACAACAACAACAACAACATCAGAGCATTGAAGAAGAGCTCGGAGTGCTTCTCCAGGTGTCAACTACGAGGAGACAGGCTGGAGCATTATCACCGCCGGGCGACAGATTACCATTCACCAGCCGCAGACGTGCCCAGGACGTTTAGCTAATTTCATTGTGGGCTGTTTGCCTTCTCTCCTCCTCCTCCTGCTGCTGCTGCTGCGAACTCGGGTGCAGACAGCCTGGGGCGCAAGCGGGGCTTCTCGTCAGCTGACGAAGCCCTGGTGAGCGAGCGAGGCAAACAAAGCCGGAAACAGAGTCGGGAATCCCTGCTGGGGAAGCGGTGCATTCTGGAACTTGTAGTTGTAGTGTGGGACGAGTTTGAATTGCAGCACGGTCCTTTTTCCGCGCGGAAACGTAGGGAAATAGAATTGTTGAATCCCCGTGAGGGCACTGTTAGCTTTGTATCGATAAAGGAGAGCACTCCCTTCTTTTCTTGACACACCCAACGAGGTGTAACCTTTTTTTGTTGTTGTTTGACCCCTTAGGTTTTAAAAATCTTAAAAATGAATCGTGTTGATAGCTAAAAATAAGTTTATTTTTGCCGAATTGTATCATAGGATTTGGAACTTTTTTCATCACACTAATTATACTACCTTCACTATATTTCCTTTAATTTATCCCCACTTATGATGGTGGTCGAATCTACATAAGTAAATCGGTGGGAACTCTAACTTATGGTATGTCTATGGTGACGGAGTCCTCCAGGTGTTGAGCATGCGCATTTCCCCCTTATTGGGTCTTTGAATAGTGCGCCTGCGCTGTGGGGGTCAGTGAGCCAGGTGGTGTCCGACTGAAGGGTTATGCACGACAGGTAAACAGGTTTCTATGGTTTCACTGCAGCTCATAAGAATATAACATTATTACGGGGTTTCGATGGTCATGACTTGTTTGACATGTTTTTTTTCCCCGTACTGGGGGGGGGGGGATATCTTCCAGTTAATGCTAATGGAATGCTAAACACACATTAAACATTAATGGTATGATATTGTGTTTTACTCTATGGTACTGTATATATGAAATAAGCAGCGCGCAAAAATATGGGACATTGTCGATCTTTAGCAATTAACATTTTTTGCATAGGTCTGGTTACTTGACTTTAAATGACATTTGCTCTTTACACGTAATTCCCAGGTCCTGTGTACTGTGCCTAAAGCCTAATTCTGTTGCGGCTGTAGTACTGTGTAGTAGATGCAGTAGGGGTGGTTCACTCAGAATGATGAAGAGTGCTTTGTAGTGAAAACCTTTGAGGTCTGTTTTCGTTCTGCTTGTATTCTGCCGGTCAGATAATCACACTGGTGTGGTAAGGTAGCGCTTAGTTATGAATGAAGAGACGGACCGCCACTGATGTCCTTTCTGACCCTGAGTTGGGTGCCCTTTCCTTGTCATTATTAAAATGTCTGTAGTATTGGCAGCTATCGATACCACCCATATGAACATTAGAGAGGGGTCCGGTCGGTCTTTAAAAGTTATTGATTCAACTGCAGATTTTTGCTTTTGCTGCACTTTCTGCTCCGAAACCCCGGGTTTCGGTTCTCTTTTGCGTGGGACGTGTTTCAGCCCCTTGTGCAAGAAAATTATAATAATAATAGAAAAAAAAAACAATTCTACGTGCTAGAAACTTAAAAGAGCTGGTCGATTTGTACCCTGTTCTTAAACTCTAGGAAACTAGTGTTTTAAGTGGGGATTTCCTTATGATTGTAGGTCGAGATTGTTCTCCTGGGGTTGCAGTGGCCTTCCAAAGCGCTGCCAGATGGTGCTTTCCCTTAAATACTGCATCCAGGAATAAGGAATAATGCACCATTTAGTTTGTAAGACTATCGATGAGGGTTTTCAGAGCCGTCATATCGCCGCAGCCTCCCCCTCTCTGACTCTCCTTGTGGTATCTCCCCAGCATGCCGGCCCCAAGCCTATTGGTCCTGTACGGCAGCCAGACTGGCACAGCCCAAGACACGGCAGAGCGGATTGGACGACAGGCTCAGAGGAGGCGGGTCCAAGTCAGGGTGGAGGCATTGGACAGCTACAATGTGGTGAGTGAACAGGGGTGTGACCGTGCGCGGCTGGGGTGTTATCTAAGCTTTGAAAGCAGTGGGTGTGGGATGGGGGGGGGGGAGTTATTTTTCATTATGCAAGTGTTCAGTACGCAGTGTGAGAATTTAACAGTTAAAAATACAATGAGGGCAGCATGGTGGAGCAGTGGTGAGCACTGCTGCCCTGTAGCGCTGGGGCCAGGGGTTCAGTTCCCACCCCGGGGTGCTGTCTGTGTGGAGTTTGTGTGTTCTTCCTGTGGGTTTCCTTCCGCGGTCCAAAGACATACTGGTAGACTAATGGGCTTCTGGGAGAATTCGCCCCTATTGAGAGTGTGTGTGTGTGTCCTGTGTAGCCTGCCCTGCGCCCGCTGCTTGCTGGGATAGGCTCCAGCTCCCCCGGGACCCTGAACTGGACGAAGAGGTTAGAAAACGGATGGCTGGGGAAAAATAACGTCATTCCAGGTGCTGTCTTCCGGCCCGCCGCAAGCGGGATTTCACGGGCGCGTGCCGGAGACGAGCCGCAACATGGCGTTCAACGTGCTGGTCTCACAGGCAGGCATCTCGTTCGCAGGCCCACCTGATCAACGAACCTCTGGTGGTCTTCGTGTGCTCCACCACTGGGCAGGGGGATCCCCCAGACAACATGAAGGTATGGGATGACC